ATACAACAACTAAATCCAATGAAACCTCCATAGTCATCATACTTAGTTACCTATTTTCCCTTTATATCCCACTGTTATACCTATCAAATCCATTACATGAAATCTGGCTGAATCATGATTCACTAACCTGAAAATAGGTGAAATATGGCCAACTTCGGTCATGATCAAGTTCCTGCATATGGAGGTTTCCTAAGTCATCGGGGTACCCCCGTCATCCATTGATGGATTTTCCATTTTTTGAACCACCCAGCTGTTCGGGGTATCATTCATGGAACCCCCCACGACAAATCAATCTTTTCTGGTTGGTGGTTTCAACCCCTCTGAAAAATATGAGTTCGTCAGTTGGAATTATTATTCCCAATATATGGAAAGTCATAAAATTGATGTTGAAAACCACCAACCAGTTTTCGGTGTTTAAATCCAAGAAACAGCAGTAGGCCTCGCCCTCCTCGTTCCCATCCGGGAGCCCGAAGAAGTCGGCACTCATCTGCCGGACCACTTCCTGACACAAAAAAAGCCGCCCTGGTGACGTGATTTGTGGATGAAGAGATTTCAGATTTACGTGAAGGCATGGTGATTTATGATCTAAACTCGAAACATTCATATAAAAATGATAAACATCCACTTTATGATCTAGAGATATCCATAGAACCCATCTAAATCCATATATCAAACTGATGAACCATGGATTCATGAACCGATTGGGATGATGATTGATGTATGGCCCTTGGAATATTTGGAATCATCCCATTGTTGATGAAAATTGGATTGCTATCAGATGCTATCAGCCTCAAGCACATATAACTTCAGACGCATCCCAGGTCCAGTTCCCCCATTTTGGGACTTTGGGGACCAAGATGGTCATCGTCCAGGTCCAGTTGGCACATGTTGGCACCTTCTCAACCTCGGGCCAGACCAAATCGATCACCTTGTCCTTGGTCTCCTTCGCCGATCTGGGTGCCTCTGGGTCGTCCGTCACCGCCTTGATGACCTGACCGCCAGGCTGGAAAGCCGGTAGAAAAACATGGGACACGGTTGAAACTGAAGAGCATGGGTATTCTAATGGGCATATCATGTTGATTAGAATGGCTGTTGGAGAACAAAAAATGTGAGGTTTAACTAAGATGTGAGACTTTCTGATGTCTTGAGCGGGACATTTGAGAAATACTGGAAACCACTTTCATCGCTGCCAAGGAACTGGCGGCATTATATCCAGAACCTTTCGCACCACTTGAATCCTGGTGATGTGAAGCGTCCGAGAACCCCCAAAAATCAGACTCAACTAAAACATTGGGGTATTCCAGAAGTTGGATAGAAATTGGATCTAATTGGGTATGATAATAAGTACTACACCCACAAATTTCTCCAAGATGTCACGAAACATCTTGGTCCGGATACTGGCTGGTTGGTGGTTTCAACCCCCCTGAAACATATTAAAGTCAGTTGGGGTGACTATTCCCAATATATCGAAAAATAAAATTTATGCTCCAAACCACCAACCAGCTGGTTACATTCTCAGGTGAGTCTGCCGCCAATGTTGCATGATGAGGTGCGCCAACCCCCATCCACCAAAACAGGCCCAGAAATCGAGAAGAGTTGGCGCCACACTGCAAAAATCTTGGATACCGCTGGCCAATCTTCTGGTATTATATATATGTATGTATATATATATATGTATATATATATATGTATATATATATATGTAGAATATATGTAGAATGACAGTAAAATAGTAAACACAAACATCTTACACATCCATTTCTAGCAAAAAACATCCCACCAATCGGTTCACCAATATTCTTCAGTGAAACTCCCCGATGCTGAAGATTCACCCATCAATAGACCATGATAGACGTCATCTACAGTCTATTTTTTGATTTAAGCTGCATCTTTTCCTTAGTACATCAATGGTAAAGCCCCAACAATACATGGGGGGCGGTTCAATCCCGATTAAATTCCCACATATACCAATTTATATATATATATATATCCATTGGATATCCGTTATATGACAATCATATACCCTCCTGTAACCTCACATAGATACGGTGTTTACCCACTCATTGGCTTTCAACATCTTTTTGTATGTCTACCCAAGGGTACCAATTGTAATGGTCATTTTTTTTTGTCGTCCACACCAAAAAACTAATCTTTTGCCAGTTTACCCTCTGGTAATTTAACATAGCTATTGAAAATCACCATTTATAGTGGATTTTCCCATTAAAACTGGTGATTTTCCATAGCTATGTTAAATTACCAGATGGTAGGGTTTATTTTCCATTTTTCTTGGCAAACAAATCAGAGGGATTAAACTACCCAACCAACGTTGGATAGGGGGATGTTCTGTACCAATTTCCCGTCTGTTGCTGGCCAGAATCATCACTACCTATCCAGTTGGTTGGGGATGTTCTGTACCAATTTCCCCAATGTTTGCTGGCCAAATTTCATCTTTGCTTCCAAGAAGTCTCGGACCACGTGCAGCCCGTTGCCAGCCACTGCTTCCACCTCCTGTCATCTCTGGTAGGAATGGACATTTGTATAATTTAGCATATATATATATATAGTAGTTATATAGTAAGTAAATGCCGATCAACATAGTGGTAAATCACGTTTCTATCTTTTCGGGGGTTACTACATATATTCTATGTTATAAATTAGTTTTTATGGAATCCAATCCTTAAGTATGCCACCGGTGCTGTGAGCGATCCGATAGGAAAACACTCATTTTATCTTAATGGTCACAACTTGGGTTTCGGGTGGGGGGTCCAGGGTCTGGGGGTGCAACAATGTTAGCACTTGTACACATACACGATACTACGCCAGTAATTAGAAGTTCACTAGCACTTGCACACACACACAACGGATTTGAAGTTCACTTGCAGGCACTTGTACACACTACTAATACTACGCTATTTGAAGTTCACTTGCACTCGCACACATGACACTCATTCATGATGCTACGCTACTTGACGCTCACTTGCATTTTCAGACGGACATGATGCTAGGCTACTTGAAGTTCTCTTGTATCTTCGCACATACCGTCATGACTTGCTAAAGGACTTGGCCAAAGAGGCTAACAAGCGCCGCTGACACTAGACGAGATCTTTCTGACAGGAACTTGAATGAGATAACTTGAGGAAAAAAGTGAGTGACAGGTGTTTTTTTGCAAAGCAAATCTTTGAAACCTTCAAAACCAATGAGGAAAAACATATAAGCTCGCCTTCCTTTAAATACCCAGCAAAATGACGGCCTCAAACATGTTCATGCAGAGTGATCAAATTACTCAGGATCGCTATGGGCGCCGGTACCATAAATATATAAATAGGAATATCGAATACATTAGGACAGCCATTAGGAACAAATATATATGTATATATATATATATATCCATTCCTATATGTAGGAACACCATGTATATATATAATTATACATATGTATACACGTCATATACTTACATTTATGTAATATAGGTTCATACACTTTTTCGAAAACCAAATATGTGTGTAGGAATCCACAAATAAATAGAGTTCAGTAAAATTCCAGTAACATAAATTACATTTCTATCTTGTTGGGGGTTACTATATACTGCAAATTGAATATGTCTGCATGGAAAATGATCGACATACATGGCCATCTTTATTGTCAAGTTCTCATGTGCAATCAACTCCCCTTACTTGTGGACCAAATGCCATTTGAACATCAACGTTATCATAATTCACTATCATGTGATTGGGAAACGCTCAGTAACCACCGGATTCAACATGTCAGATGTATTTGGTTTGCCAGGACACTCCTAAAGCCTGAAATACTGACCCCTGTCCAGTCAGCTGATAAACAAACTTGGCCACGTCAACTTGGAATGACTAGTCAAAATACCTAAAAATCATTCAGAATCAATATAATAAATTATATAGAATAAACAGTATATATATATATAATAAACAGTATATATAAAATAAAATAAAATAATATAATATAACATAAGATAATACAATATAATATAATATAAGATAAGATAAGATAATATCATATAAACATGTTTATAATCTCTCTCTCTATATATATATATCATATATCATATGAATAGCTAGAAATCATCCGTCTTTTACACCGTTCACCGATCAACGTCAGCGTCCTTCACGACGTGTTCCGCCACATGTGCTGCTTCCACGGCCAAATCTCTGACGCCTTCGGCCAGGTTCTCGGCCAGCTGATTGGTTTCCTGGCCATGGAGCTTTGCATCGGGGGTACCCCAAAATGGTTGGTTTATATTGGAAAAATCCTATGGAAATGGATGATTTAGGACCTATTTTAGGAAACCCCAGAAAATAGGAATTTTATTTAAAAAACAACTCAAAATAATATGAAATAATGAAACTGAAAAGATGAACCAATGCTTTGAATTGATCTTGTCGTTGTACCATTGGAAAGAACGGAATTTTCGTTAAACAACTTCCCTTTCCCCCATTCTGCAGCCAGTTGATTTTGATTCCCGCTTACAGGGCCCATCTACTAGTCTAATCTTTGAACTGGGCTGAAATATGGTGAAATAACCCAATTATCTGACACTGGGCCACTCAATGGTGGCCCCTACAATGGACGGAACGATGGAACACCCCAACGGTAGGTTTTCTCTTGGGTGGACAACGGGATCATTCTTGGTGATTGTGAAGGCACATTCTTTCCTTTTGCATAGCTGCATATGGCACCGTACATCATCCTCTAGCTATTCTTTTGCGTCTTCCTGCATTTATCTGAGGCAAAAAAACTTGGAACCATCAAACATGGAGAATTCGGCATCAAAATATCATATTGCTGTACTTCCCATTGTGATGATAGCAACCCACCAAAGGATAGAGCTTCGTAAAATCCATTCCCAAAATGAAAAATAGTTAACCCTTTCAATATTCCCATTGAATCCTATATCATCCCAAATTTTCCAACATTTTCCCATCTCCCAACTGATCCCATCACTTTCATGGAAATCCCATAAGAAAACCCATCGTTTTCCAAGCTGCTTGGGCCACTTCCTCTGCTGCCTGGAAAAGAAATGAGATGTACCGTTAGAATATATACATTAAATATTAGTACATATGTTATTAATACTTAGTGCATGTATATGTATGATTATGTATGTATATCTATGTATATATATATATATAATTATATATATATATATCTCAATTAGTCTAAATACACATAAAATAGGTCACACATGAATAAAGAAATAAACGTTGATGACATGCAAGGACTAAATATTGGAATGTACCATGGAACCTACGAGTTGTTGTCTTGGGTACAGATCTTGAGAAACACTTAGTGTAGGAGGGTATATCCTTAGATGTCCTTCCGGAAACTGTATAGCTAGTTCCATGTCATCATTCATAACCATATATATATAATATATATATATAGAATCCTTTATTAGCAATTATCAATATTCATAACCATATCGATATGATATATTAAATTCATATATTACATAAACCATTCATAACCATACTGGTTGGTGGTTTCAACCCCTCTGAAACATATGAAAGCCACTTAGGACTATCATGCCCAATATATGGAAAGTCAAAAAATGTTCCAAACCACCAACAAGGATATATTAAATTCATATAAATTCATATATTACATAACCCATTCATAACCATTCATAACCGTATATATAATAACTAATCATCACCATCATGGCATGGGCCACCCTTTCATTACCGTGCCTGCTCCACCTTGATGGCCACCGACTCCATAGCTTCTTTGACCTCAGGTGGTGGTGGTGGTGGTGATTGTTAGTAGTAGCATTATCACTATTACTATTACCCTCTGGTAAACTAACATAACCATGGAAAATCACTATTTTTAATGGGTAAATCCACTATAAATGGCAATTTTCAATAGCTATGTTAGTTTACCAGAGGGTACTATCATGATGTTTATATTGTGATTACGATAGTAACGATATAGATATTTAATGATATTTAATGATATTTAATCACTAATCAATCACTATTATGATAATGTTATTTTGATTATTATTGTCCGAATTGCGTTTTAAGGTGTTTCTGCATCCTCACTCCGGAACATCCACATTTATTCACCACGTGCGAATCAGAACAACCACTGTATCCTGATGACGTTTGATTTGCCACTATGCAATAGATATCAATAGATGACATTACCATACATTACCCTTCCAATTTCTTCCGTGGAAACACTTAGTCGACGAACCTGCCTGCGGAAAAAACATGAAAAAAACACCTCCAGAGGCTTCTGGGCTCGACACCTCAGCTGCTTCCTCTTCGATCACCTTTTCAGTCTGTTCCAAGCATCCGCACACCATGGCGGCGCACAGGGAGCCCTGGGGGAGCCCCTATGTCAGCGACCTTTTTTGAGCTCATGGACTGCATCACGGTGAAATGAATGGCGGGCGACATGGCCTGGTCAACATGCGTGGCTTGGCCATGTCGTTTTGATGTTCAGAATCATGGCCATCAGAAGATCAAAAAACATGGCACATCAAAACAACTTCGGATCTTCGGATTTACCGAAAGATTTACCCTCCATTTTCCAAGACATCTTCCAACCAAGGCAATGAACGGTGGCAGATTCTCCGTCTGCACCTTGGTAGTTCCTGTCTCGGGCTCCGCCTGTCGATGACAGGATGGGGGAGCAATGAGGGATGGACTGGAGCAATGACCATTGAGCTTGGCTTCAGTCATGTGGCAGTGTGTCAAAACCCTGGTACCCCTGGTGAACATCAAAATAGCTGGTAAATGGATGTTCATCCCATTAAAAATGGTATTAATAGGTATTGATCCATACCCATATGTTTATCTCTGTTTTTTAACAATTATTCCATGAATGATGAACATAAATGACCATTTCAATGGAAAAACTGATGATAAACAATAAACAACCATAAAACATGTTGGAGGCCCTACTTTCAAACAAACACACATCGGAAGATTATGGAAGATCGGACGGCAAAAACTGATAAAAACTGAGTACTCTCTTGTAGCCTAACACTGCAAAGAGAAATATACATCCCTTAATTCAAGAAAATAGAAGACTATCATGAATGTCCAGTTCCATGTTTGATTACCAGAGGATAGTATAAGGATAGAACGGAGAATCCATCGCCATCACCGGGAAAGCCAAAGAGCCAAACTTGGGCCAAAAAAGTTCAACTGCTTGGTGCTTCTTTACCTGATCGTTCCAGTGATGGAGAGATCAGCAAATGATCGGAGAATATTGGAGACCACCAGCCAGTTGAACTTAACTGGTTGGTGGTATACCTACCCCTCTGAAAAATATGAAAGTCAAATGGACCTATTATTCCCAATCTATGGAAATATAAAAAATGTTCCAAACCACCAACCAGTCAACATCGTCCAGGCTCAGAGTCTTTGGATCTCCAGTGTAACAACAGCTCAAAGCGCTGCCCACCGGATCCCTCCGAAATTTTTCGGACACAACCGTGGCCTCTTCGTCCGTGCTGTACATGCCTATGCCGGCGGTGGGTGGCTTCAACATCAACCCCCCAAAAAACGCATCAGTGGGGGTTCATCATCACAAAAAGGGGTGAAAGTAAAGACTATTTTGACTATTTCAAACGAGAAATCAGGGGATTTCATCTCTGCAACTTCTTGACAAATCCGAGAAATCCATCCTCTCCAACACCGCTTCATGGCGCCTGATTTCTCACTCTCATCCACTGCATCCTGATGCAACTGACGGTCAAAGCCTCGCTCTTGCTGCAAGATATATCTAACATTATCTAACCATCTATTCATTTGTTGTCAACCCTCGTAATTTTTGGAGGGTGAACTGTGAGCTCCTCATTTGTTGGAGAACTTTTCATTCTCCACATCTTTGTTGCTCAACATCCCAACACTTTTTGGGTTGAACCAACTGGCCACGTTGTGCTGGCAAAAGCTCCTCCTCTTCCAAGTTGACTTCGACTTCTTCCATCTCAGCAGAAGAGTCAATGGCTTGATGGTAACTCTATGGGTAACCAGTAGGGTCCAGCCCTACACATGGTTGATCATGTTGCGCTTTGACCATTGGAATTTCAATGGCGAGAATTTTTGACGCATAACTTTCTCTTTGAGAAATCAAAGTTTGGTGTATTCTTATAGTAAAGATCACCCAAGTCTGCATTTTTCAAGTCCAAGAAACACCCAAATCTGTGCATCATACCAACTATCTTACCTGTCAGAGGATGTCAAGACATTGGACTGGCATGGCACGTCGCACTGAGGTGGTCCGTGGAGAATGGTAGAGTAGATCATTCTCCAAAGAAATGAAATGACAGGAGCCTCCCAATTTGCCAGGAATTGAACTGGATGAACTGTTAACTCATCCGTAAAGAACAATATTTTGGGTTCTCCTTATCGTTGTATCACCAGCAAACAGCTTGCGAAGGACGCAGTCTGATGAGCTACCTCCATCAAACCTCCTCCGTAGCATTTGCATATACACAGTATATACATAAATAATACATAAATACATGCGCATCAGATGCTTTAGGTTCATAAACACGGTGAAATATAACGGTCGGACATGAGAAACAAAAGACTATAGGTTCTTATCTACAGAGTTGCGAACTGCGGCTACAAAAGGCTGTAAAGCCATATGACACTCCGTTTATTATATAGCAGCACCAAAAGATAGAACCGTAAATTCCTACTATATAAATTAGTTATAAATTTACTTATCTATCTTTTTTTTGTTATTTGGGTACTAAACACATATACAACTAATATACGTGCATATAAATGACTGGGGAACTATCATAGTTCCGAAATCAGAAAGCATCGCCCATTCGGGGATCTATCATTTATACGGTTTGGCCAGGGAGCTCGCCATGATTATGCCAGACATTCATGATTGCTTGGGGTGCAGATAAGGTGGTAAATGGGTGATAATATGTAATAATCATGTTACACCCACCCCAAATATACATGGAATATCCCCACTTAATTCCCAGTTATATGGGTTATATATATATATACACATATGGGTTATATATGGGCTATAAGCCAGTCAAATGGGTTATTACGGACATACCGTACCATCCAGTACCAATTGGGAGGCTCCCTGTGATTTGAGGCACCTCCGCTTTATCTTCTGCGCCCAGGATTTTTCCTCAGTGGAAATGGCCTTGAAATGGCCAAAACGTGTCCTGACCAGCTCAGAGAACACATGTATCATGACCACTTGTAGATTACAAAGCCGAAAGGCACCAAATACAGTTTTGATCATTGGTGACATTCCCGTATATAATATATATATATAATTATATATAACATATATGTATATATTCTATATATATATATTATATTGTATTCCCATTCTGCTCAAGGTTCAGAGATTCTTGTGGCACCCAGATGTTTCCAATACCTCAACATGATGCCAGTTGTGAATCCGTTACCATCCGATAGAGTCCAACTGGGTTTCTCCCACGTTTCTTCTTTGCTTTGGCCTTCTCCTGGGACAACACTGGGTGCCGACCCCGCATGGTTCAAAGTTGGGTACCGAACTAACATGAAGGTTTTTATAAATGTGTTATACATTATACTACTATAATCCCCAGTTGATCTTGCTTTTTCATGCTTTTTCTCCATTTTTTCCATGAAACCAACCGATGTCTTTGCGGTCAACAAGTTGAAGCCATGGCCAGTGGAACACCGCCATTTGCCCAGCAGTCCTCAGCATCACCTCAGCAGTTGCGCATTTCTTGGAACTACAACTGCCATCACGACATGAAATCATGGCCAGCCATCTCTGTGTTGTTGGATCTCCAATTTCTTGGAACCACCAACTCACCATAACTCACCATTCCCAACATGGCTTATTTCATGTGCCAGGTCGAACTCGGCCGACGCCCCGAAGAATTTCACAGTTCCCAAGGCACCTCCGGTAGGTTCCTCCTGCAGTTAACGCAGTTTTCACACTAGGCCAACTATTGGACTCCTGGTGGGGGCTAGAAACCATGGATAACCGGATAACCATGGTTTTTGAAGCATGGATAGTCCCATCCTGGATTCCCAGTTGGGTAATCTTGTAGTGTTGCCAGTGTTGCCCCAATTCGACCAACCTACGCAGGTCAACTGGGCACTGATGCGTGACATTGGCGGTCAGCATCCTCAACAAGCAACACAAGTTTTCACATGTGTAATTAATCATATATGATGTGTGTAACAGTGTACACATTGAATTGTGTCTACGTGAGTAATGAGTATCTGTAAACATTAAGGGAGGCCGCAACTCAAGTGGAGCTTCCCCTCCCCCCCAGTGCAATCTCCTCCGCCTTGCCACCGTCGTCGTTCTGACGCCGCTTCCCGGCCTTTGGAACGTTCGGGGGGTTCCGAATGTTGGGACCCGAACGAAAGTGGGGTACCTGTGCTTCGACACAGCCGCGCCAGCAAACCTTCAACATCCGATGGACCTTCTGGAAACCAACAAGGGAAATGGATTCGGTTCTTGCTAGCTATTCTTGGGGTGTAGGGATAATTTCATCATATATGGGTCATTTCTTCTTACCAAATGGGTTAGAGGAATTTGCAGGATCGATTTTGGGAAAGTCTTAGACGCCCGCCCTTTCCCAATTCGGGCCTTGATCGCCTTATCTTTAGACTGTTGGATGAGCTTCAAGAGTTCCTTCCTCAGAAACGTGGCTGGAAAGTTCCTTCCCTTGATGTTTTCTGACTTCAACCATGTGAAAATGCGAGGAGAATCTGGAGAATGGGTGAAAAATGGTGAAAATCCAGTCAGGAAACTTGAAGAAAACTTGTGGGTGGAAGGAGCCCGAGCCCTGAATCTTTTCAGAACCTGCCAGTTGTGGTAGCAAGCCATTGGTTGTCATGGCGAACCTGCCGAAGTCTGATCTACCAAGGCTTTCGTAAATATTCGCAGCCGAAACAATGGTGTTTTGAAGAGAGGGAATCTGGAACTCTGGAACCACACTATTTTTCATTCCAATGAATTCCATTGCTCCAGTGAAGCGATCGCTGACGCCGCTGATGCCGCTGACGCCGGGTCGCTTGAGATTCTTGCAGACGTGGTCAATCAAGAAGCTTGAGAGCCTCGGCACGACGGTCACGAGCGTCCCTTTCGAGATGCCCCAACTTGGATTCGAAGAAAAAAGGTCATCCATTTGGGGATCGATAACTGGTTGGAACCCCTCTGAAAAATCATGGAGTTAAAGTCAGTTGGGATGATGACATTCCCAATATGAAAGGAAAGTCATCAAATTCCATGGTTCCAACCACCAACCAGATAAAATGGTCACATTATGGTCATATTCCTGGTGAATTGCGGTGAATTACCGTTTAAATCCATTGCTTGTACTTAGCACTTGCGGACCAAGCTGGTCACCCAGTCGTGAG